TTTTTTTTTTTTTAAAGGAAGACTGTGTCTTAAAATACTTTTCTGATCTCTTGGCTCTCAATTCTCTAGACGTCTTCTACAAATATTGATGCACGGTTGTGGTATTTCCAGTTCTAAGGTTTAGGTTATAGACATTAAAAAAGGACAGAGTATAGAAGTTAAATATTTAGTCTTTTTAAAAAAATCAGATGGACGTTTGTTCATGGGCTCTGAATTCTGAATTTAATGACACAAAATACAAATAATAATTTAGTAAGTCTGAGTCTCCATGACTGGAATATTTTTATTTTTACTTTTGGCAGTAATGGACTACTCTGTATTGGGACCTCTCTAATATTTCTTGATTGTCGGCTGACTCCCACCTAAGGATTGCTTTTGATAGTGAAAGATTTAGAGTGAGAAATTTCCTAACATTTCCAGCTGTTCTACTATAGTATACTGATAGCTCACTAATGCCAACTTTTTTTATGGAATCCAAAGGTGTGAAGAGAATAATAGTGTTGGGGGATGAGGATAGCACTGTTTATAACAGGGCATCTCTCTCACCCCATGTGGTCAAAGTTTAGATTGATTTAGTTTATCTTAGTTTAATTTATGAGATGTCTTCTAAAATACCAATTGCAGATGGGTTCTTAGTAAATATTCTTTTTTTTGTTTTGTTTTTTTAATTTTTTTATTTTGTCGTTATACATTGTGGTTGATTATTGTTGCCCCTTACCCAAACCTCCCTCCCTCCNGGTAGATGGTGCTGCTGCTTGTCCAGATCGGGAACCCTAGAGGAGCTGTGCTCAGATGTCTGTGTGCAGTGCAGGGAGAAAACAGGGACTTGCAAGTGAAAAGTGAATGCGAAGAGATGAGCAGGGCTGACTCAAAGCTGAAACAGAGTTTCATGATTAACCAAGATAAAGTTAGAAAGAAGCAGGAGGCCAGTTTGAGAAGTTTAGTTGGACTGAAAGTTATCTGAGGTTAATTTCTAGGTGTGGCAGCAGGAAGTCATGCCTATTGGACCTTGAGGTGCTGAACGTGCCACTGACCTGTCTCACTGAGGGAGGCCTGCAGACACCTGCTAGGACAAAGGCTGGAAATCATTGAACACTGGGTTTGGAGATCCAGATATTCAAGCTGTTGTTGTTACACTTTGCGTTTGATCTGAATTACAGGCTTTGTCTTGTAGAATAAATCCAAAGACTGCTGTTTTATTCAAGTACCAGGACAGAGAGAAATAATTCTAGTTACCTTGTGTATAATTCTTCTAGTTTGTGGATAGAAGCTGAGCTAGATAAAAGATAACACACACAAGAAGGGATTAGACTCTGGAATTTTTGTTCCTAATATTTGTATAAAACCTTGTAGTAGTCTTCAAAGCACTTTTACATGCATGAACTAATTTGATCTTCAAAAAAAAATGGTGTGGGTTAGTAGGGAAGATAGCAATAGTCCATCTTGCAGCTGAAGCTCAGAGAGGCTATGACTTGGCTGACATCTCAGATCTAGATAGGAATTGGTTGTAGGATTCTGTGTTCTAGTTTGGTGTGGCTTCTACCACATTACAATGCCTCACTAAACATACCTTGATGACCCTCACTGTGATGCATTCGTTTCTCTGCATGTCACACGAGGAATGATCCATCACTGATGGAAAGGAGGGCCAAGGTCTTCCTTGCCTTCTCATAGCCTTCAGGACACTATCTTTCTCCCTAAGCCATTGCACAGCCCTGTGGAGAAAGCTGGGATGCAAGAGCCTCACATTTGGGAAGCACAACTGTTTGTTAGATGTCTCAGTTCATAGTTTTTGAGGCAGTGGACCCTTGAGATCCAGAGGACTGGGCTCAAAGTTTTCCCCATATCACATATCAAAGGAAACTGGGTGAGATGTTTTCCTTTGTCTTTTTTTTTTTTTNTGTGTGTGTGTGTGTGTGAATTTATTTATTAATTTTTAGCTCCCACCAATAAGTGAGAACATGTGGTATTTCTCTTTCTGTGCCTGACTCGTTTCACTTAATATAATTCTCTCAAGGTCCATCCATGTTGTTGCAAATGGCAGTATTTCATTCGTTTTTATAGCTGAGTAGTATTCCATTGTGTAGATGTGCCACATTTTCCGTATCCACTCATCCGATGATGGACATTTGGGCTGGTTTAGTAAATAACCTAATTTGACTATTCTATTATCATTGCCAATACAGGCTTTAAAAATGATACATGTACACATTCAAATAACGTTTGGTCATGATACAAATTATATTTTTGTCTCAGGTTGACTTTTCATTCTAGTATTTTTGGTGTGTGTGTAAAAACATTAATTATGATGTTTTATGAAATGTGAAGTTTTAAAAGTCCATTAACCAGTAACACTTATGTACAGTACATACCAGTATGATGGAATAAGATCAGCATTTTTTGTAGCTAAATGGCATAAAGCATTGTTGTAAGTTTCTTTCCTTCCCACAAAAATATTTTAGCTAATGACTCAATGACAATATTTCTTTAGATCCTACAACACATCAAATCTGATGGAAGACCTGAAAGTTTTGTATAGAATGGCTGGTCAGCAAGGCAAAGGAATCTCTTTTATTTTCACAGACAATGAGATTAAAGATGAGTCATTTTTGGAATACATGAACAATGTTTTATCATCGGGCGAGGTAGGAGCTCCTTTATTCATTTTTTTGTCTCTTCAGACTTCTTCCAACTTAGACATCTCCACATTTCCTTCCATTAGAGTCTTGAATAAGTGCTATTGGGGATCAGGTGATCAGTAAGAAGCATGGCTTTTTCTACTGGGTTTTCGAAGAATAAAACTCCCAATCAAAACGTGGAGCTAAGCATTTAAAATGTCAACAAATGCTCCCAGTGAAAAATGAAAACCAGAGGAGGGAGGTTAGAGGGAAAAGCTAATTAGAACTTTGGTATGTCCATTTACCTCCCTTAAGGACTATGACTTTGCAGTTAATAACAGAATCATTTGTGTATTTTAAAATGTGGTGTATTTCATCTTGAAAACTTCCAGTTAATTTTCTAAAGGTGAGTTTAAGACACAAATGGAGGGAAAGATGTGCCTATTGAGCTACATAGTTTGATTTGTTTTCACATGCGTGTACTGAATTTACATGCCTATACTTCTTTTTAAGGTCTCCAACCTATTTGCTCGTGATGAAGTTGATGAAATCAATAGCGATCTGACACCAGCCATGAAAAAAGAGCACCCCAGGCGCCCTCCTACCAGTGAGAACCTGTATGACTACTTCATGAGTCGCGTCCGACAGAACCTGCATGTTGTGCTCTGCTTTTCCCCGGTGGGGGAGAAATTCCGAATCCGATCTTTGAAGTTCCCCGCCCTTATTTCGGGATGCACTATTGACTGGTTCAGCCGATGGCCTAAGGATGCCTTAGTTGCTGGTGAGTGTGTTGGAAATATTTGTGTCAGTGTTTCCGGTTTACAGTGTTTGTTGCTTTATTTAAATTCTGTGCTGTTTGCTTTCTCTCTGAGAGGCTCGAGCCCACTCAACTCACTTTGTCCATCATTGGAGGATTTTTGCTGCAAGATGGTGCTCTTTCTTGTTTGGTGTCTAGTTCTTCCCATAGTGTGGTTGTCAGCAAATGAGATCTTCAATCTGTATCCCCTTGGGTTAATTTTCAATGATTTTAATGTTTTCAGGGAAGCTTGAAGGCTTTGCCTCATTTGGATCCCCATGTAGGTTCCAGGATGTCACAGGAAGGCACAGATTTTAATCTCCTCGATAGTGTTTGTGTTCTTTTCAAGTGGGCTTGTCAAGCCAAGAGTAGTTAAAGCCATGTGTCTCTTGGATATTTCCTTTTCGCGGCTGCAGTGCTGGAAATCAGAGGAAGAACATTATCCAGCAATCCTCTGCTGGTTTCTGTCCTTGATAAAGGACGTTAACCAGAGTGTTCTCTGCCGGAGCCTTTCTGCGTCTACTTCTTTCCACTTGTCCATCCCATGGAACAATAATGCTTCTCTAACTCTGGATGTGAAATGGGAACATAAAAGTAGCACAGGAGAGGTTAGAGATTATACATTTAGTTTACACCCTCCCCGTCTCCAGCTTTTGGTGATAAATTATCTGTGGATATTTTAAAAGATGCAGATACTTAGGTCTCATCCCTGACCTACTGTATTGGAACCTCAGGGGAACCTTGATTCAGGGTGGTGGTTTTCAAACTTTCTGTCTGATTATTGTGCATTAAGCAGAAGAGCCTTATTTCCCTGTAATACCTTTCACTAGCCCTAGTAGATAAATCAGTGTAAAGTAGAGGGGAGGAGGAAGTGCTCGGATCCTCGTCCTCTTTCTTACCCCATTGCCCTGACCCCTGCTGCCCCCACCACCGATTCCCAGCTCTCTGGTGCCTAGTGTGAGAACGACAGGTTAACTTGTCTCCTGCCCTTTAGAGATGGAGAAACCGGAGAGCGTGAAGTTGAGGCTCTTGTCAGAGGTGGAAGTAGCCAGCAGGATCAGTACTGGGACTAGAACCCAGGTTATCTATCTATTTATCTATCTAATCTATTAATTATCCATCTATCATCTATCTGTTTATATCTGTCTCCTATCTATTATCCTTATATCAATGACCTATCCATCAATCATCCATTTATTTATTTATCTGTCTATCTCATCTGTTTATTTCTTAAATCAAATTCTTATCCACTGCAGAAGTTTTGTTCTCAGCACACTACTGTTTTTGATTAATTTTTTTTAAATTGACATTTATTGATTGTACATATTTATGGGGTACAGAGTTATAGTTCAGTACATGTATGATCAAATCAGAGTAATTAGCATATTCATCATTGCAAAAATTGATCATTTCTTTATGGTAAGAGTATTTGAGCTTCTCTCTTCTAGCCATTTGAGAACATACAATAGTTATAAATTATAGATGTCAAGCACTACTATAGACCACTATAGACCACAAGCTGTGATTTTGTATTCATTAATCAGCCTGTCCCTATCCTCGTCCTTCCTTCCCAGTCTCTAGTAACCACAGTTTGACTCTCTAGTTCTGTAAGCTCAACTTTTTTATTAGCGCTCATGTATGAATGAGAACATGTGATATTTCTCTTTCTGTGCCTGACTTATTTCAGTTACCATAATGTCTTCCAGGCTCATCCATGTTGCTGCAAATGGCAGGACTTCATTCTTCTTTTATGTCTGAATAGTATTCCATTGTGTATATATACCATATTTTCTTTATCCATTCATATGTCAATGGTTGGTTTCATGTCTTGGCTATTGTGAATAGTGCTGCAATAAACATGGGGGTGCAGATATCTCTTTGGTATGCTAATTTCCTTTCCTTTGGTTAAATACCCAGCAGTGGGATTGCTGGATCATAGTTCTATTTTTAGTTTTTTGAGGAATCTTCATACCATTTTCATAATAGTTGTATTAATTTACATTCCCACCAACAGTGTACAAGAGTTCCTTTCCTCTGCATCCTCTCCAGCATTTGTTATTTTTTGTCTTTTTGATAATAGCCTTTCTAACTCCGGTGAGATGATATTTCACTGTGATTTTGATTTGCATTTCCCTGATGATTAGTAATGTTGAGCATTTTTTAATGTACCTGTTGGCCATCTGTATTGACAATAAGGGTTTTCTGATTTGTGGATTTTAAACAGAATATTTTAGCATGTTTGAAGTACAAATGTCCAGTACAGTTTCTTCTTCTGTCTTACAAGCTTTGAGAAAAGACAAGTGATTTAAAATTTTAAGTGCTGTAAAAATGTAAATACAACTAGAAGTAAGATTTTGAAATTCCTTGAAGTAGGATATACATGTATGGCATGAAACAACAGTGTTTCACAGCTATATTAAAGTTTACTATAAAACATGTTAATCAATATGCAAGTACGTTATAAAATGCCATGAAAGATATTATCATTAACAGTAAAAATTTCATGTGTCAAGTACTGTAATATACCGTAATTAAGATAATTTAATTTAAATATGGAGCCCTTTCTGCTAGGTCCCTGTTTCAATCACCCCTCTTTTATAAGACAAAAGTCTTATTGATCCTTTATTTGCTAATTTCTCACAAATCTGCCCCATTCTTTTAAATCTCATCACATCAATCCAAGCCAAGATTATATGGAGGGCAGGAACATTTTCAATTTTGTGTTTCTTGTTCTTAGCAAGCATCCTGACATTTATGCCTGAATCTATTTGCTTGTTTATTCAAAACATATTTATTGAGCTTCAATGCCATTTATTGAACCAGGCACATTGAAGGGCAAGGTAGACTCATTTCTTTACTCCAGATTCTATCCCCAGGAAAGCTCATCCATAGCCTCCCGTACAATGTGCCCCATCATTTTTTATCTCCAGCCTCGTCTGTCCTCTGGCTTGAAATCTGTGCACTCAGCTGCCTGCTTGATCCATTTTCATGGATGTTTCACAGGCTTCTTGAGCTCAAAATATCTGAAACTGAACTGGTTCCCTCTATCAAGAAGTGTCACCATCATTCATCGAACTAGGCAATCAGAGACCTCTCTGTCTTTAACACCTCCCTTTCTTTCCACTCTCAAGTCTAATCATCACCACATCATGTTGACTTTATCTTCTAATTATTGGTGGAATCCATCCAATGCTTTCCCTTTCACTTGCATCCTATGCCAACCTGTCATTGTCACTCACCTGGAAAACCCAAATAGCTTTCTAATGATCTCTCCTCCTCTTTCACCTGTCTCCCATGTATCTCGCACTGAAGACAGAGAAATGGTAAAAACAGAAACCCAATCACATTGCTTTCTGCTTCAAAGCTTCCCTATCCTCCTATGGCTCCTAGAAAAAAGAGCATGATCTTTAGCATGGTCTTCCAGACTGAGAAGAGCTGGCTCTGCCTTCCTCCTGAGACTCACCTGAGGTCACCTTTTCCTCCTGCTCTGTCTCCATGGATACTCGAACCTGCTATTTTTTCATCCCATTCAATGCCTTCCTCCTCCCATACCCCTCTGCACCCTCCTCCTTTGTCTGGATAATGCTGGCTCAGCTAAATGGTACCTCTGCAGGGAAACCTTCTTCTGCTTCCCCCTGTTCCCCACTAAGCCAGGTCCTCCATTCTCCATTTCATAGCATGCGGTGCTTTTTCTTCTTGGGACTAACCATGGTTTATAGGTTTATAATTTGCATACCTGGTGTGTGATTTATTTGATTAAAGCTTACCTATCCTACTAGATTAAATACTCCATGAGGTTAAGGACTACATATCTTTTGTTCAAAATTTCAGCAGCTACTGTTGTCTGACACTTATGGTGTTGAATGAGTGAATCAAACTGTTGACATTCGTTATCTTTCCATAATATGGCCCTAACTCACTTGCAATCTTTCTCTAACCCAACACAAATCTTCCCTTTTTTCCCTTCAGATATAACTTTTTGTTCTCTGAACATGCCTTAATCATTTTTATTTTTCCATGCATGTCCCTATATCAAGAATGTTCTTACCTGTCTTTTGTTTGTCCAAATTCCAAAGCTTAATCAAGACTTGTCACATCCTTCCATTCTCCTCTTTTTACTTAAGAATATTTAAAAATTTCCCTTTTCTTGGACCTCCTATATCTTTAACACTTATACTTTATATAATGCACTTAGGCATTTAAATCTTTTTATACCTTTTGATAACCAGTAAGCTTTTGTGGTTATATCTCAAATTTAGTCTAGTACGTATTTACAGCCTGCACACTATGACTATTTAGTATTATGCTAGTCATAGTAATGGATAAAATAATTTTAAGATATAACACATGGTTTTTTTCTTCAGTAAATATAAAATCTTGTTGGGAAAACCAATGTTTATACACCTAATACTAACCTGACTTATGTTATTTTGAAAGAATACCATCTGTGGATATGAAAAGTGCTTAATACACTTAGAGATTTGAGTACTGTTTATTTTTAGAAAATTAGCAACAGTGTTTTCAGAAAAACTATTTTTTATGTTGCCTGAAGAATATTGATTCTGAATTACATTATTTTCTCTAGCTCCATCAATAAGGAAATACACTATCTTGTTTATGTTAGCATTTTAATTAGATTATAAGAAATATTTCAAAAAAATAAAAGCATTAAGTTATTGTATGTTTTTCTAATTTAAAGTCTCAGAAGATTAATATAAGGTTTCATAGTACTTTAATAACTATAGTACTTTTGAAAGAAAGTGAGCTTTTTATATGCGTGAATTTAAATGGACTGATTTTCTTGATGAAATGTTTAAAGAAGGAGGTTCTGGTCAAGATGGCAGAATAGATGGTTCCCAGCGTCACTCTCTCTCAAAAATCAACCAATTTACAACTATAAAAATATAACAGTAGCCAAGCTGGGGCCACTGGAGCTCAGGGGAAGAGGAGGAGAGACCTCACGAAGGTGGGAGAAACCACGATGAAAGAAAGAAAAAGCTGCTCTGAGCATTTCAGGCCACGGCCACTTTAAGGCTGGAGCTGATAAGTGCATGGAGCAGGAGCCTGCAGAAGTGCAGCTGTGCCCTTCAGATGGAAGTTACTTGGAGGCAGCAAGAGAGGAGGGCCTTGGTGGCCCCCAAGACAGCAAGACCACTAATAGGGTTCACGTGGATCCATGCAGGAGCGAGGAGCCAGACAGCTGAAAAAAGGGAGCTGTTCATAGTCTGGTGAGTCATTGCAAGGAACTGACACAGGGCCTATCCCATGGGAAGTATTTGGAACACGGGAAGTAGGTGAGACAGGCCCACTGGGAGAACACTGGGACACAGCAAGGACAGCCGATCTGCCTCCCAATCAGCACAGGACCACTCAGAGGAGAATGGTCGGGAATGCAGAATTGCACGGGGTGCAGTTTGATGAAAAAACTCAGGCAGAGTTTCTACAGAACACAGATCCACCAGGTCTCTGGAGAGCCGGAAGTACCTATAAGATCAACCATTAACCCCTGAGCTGCACAAAAAGCCTTTCCTAGGGAAACAGTAGCAAAGTAGCAATTTAAACAACCACACAGCTCAAGTACTGGTTCCCACAGGAAGTTCTCCCATGTTAGAAGCAAAGGACAAAAAATTCGTTCCAGTCCAGGCATACCACCAGCACCTTGGGTCCTGCCTGGGAACTGGAGGCTTGGATCTGGGGACCGGACCCCCCTTCCACAACTAGGCACACCATGCCAGTACCTCGGGACATGCCCAGGGACCCAAGGCATGGAGAAAGGGATTGGAACCCCCTCCCACAACCAGGCACAACAAGCCATTGCCTTGGGTTCTGTCTAGTGACCCGAGGCATGGAACTGGGGACCGGACCCTCCTCCCACAACCAGGCATGCCATGCCAGCAAGTCAGGGCCTGCCTGGGGACTTGAGGCATGGAGAAGGGGACAGATCCCCCTCCCACAACCAGGCACTCTGTGCCAGCACCTCGGGGCCTGCCCAGTGACCTGAGGCAAGGAGAAGGGGACTGGACCCCCCTCCCACAACCAGGCAAACAGCACCAGTGACTTGGGATCCACCTAGAGATCAGAGGCATGGACAAGGGGACTGGACACAACCCAGCACCAAGGAACATGCCAAAAACATCACCTCCATGTGAGTGGTCCACCACAGCCACCACAATAGCCATGGCTGCTGTGAAAGCGGCTAGACGCCACAGCCACCATGCAGATGGTCCATCAGCCACTGAAGTGCATTCACCCAAGGAGAGTCACCAGCAGAGACAAAGAAAAGAAGAGGACGCCTCTCCCCACAAAGCCCATTTCAGAGTGATAGAAGAAGCATCTGCTCTATGATGATATTGGAGGACCTGAACACACCTCTCAGATTGGACAGATCATCTGGGTGACAAATGAACAGAGTAACCATTATTCTTTCAGAAGGAGAGAAGAAATCTAGGGTTATCAGAGGTGGGATGGGGGAGGGAGAGGGGGATGGGGAGAGATTGGACAAGGGGCATAAAGAATAAGTATGATTTGTAACAATATATATGCTAGTAATATTGATTTGATCAACGTATCTCAATGTTCAACCCCAAAATATGTATAATTGATTTTGCTTCAATAAATAAAATAAATTAAAAATAAAATAAAATAAAATAAGCAACACAAAATAGAAAAAATAAAAAAGAAAATGTATAAAGAAATAAAACCCCCAATATTTTAAAAATAATTTTATTTTTGTATATTTACAGTATACAAAAGAGTTTTGAGAGCAATGATATTGAATATGTGCCATTTTTAAGTAAACTTTTTTTTGGCATAAAAAAAAGGAAACGTTTAAAGAAAAATATGCTTTGTTTTATGTTGTAAAATTCTTGAAGGTGACCCCAAAGCTGCATTGCTGCCTTGGTGATTGGACGTTGAAGACGACAGGAGGGTTTTCCATGGCCTCTTAACTGAGTCTTAGCAGGCAGGTCACCCTAAGAGGGAGTATTCTGATCCTGAACATAATCTTCAACCTTTCCTGTTCAGAGATTGTGGGTCTATGGGAAAATATACTTAGAATCCATCCCATTTTTATTCCTTTGACTTTTTGGAGAGTCAAAAAGACAACTCGCTACTTAAAGAAAAGGTCACCATTATCTATACTCTGTTCACATAAGGAAAAAAATCATTACACGGTAAATACAAGTACTTTTTCAGAAATTGGGGACTTCCCTGAGGACATCCCATAATGCCAAGTAAAGCAGCTGTCACATAGTGAATATTGCACCTGTCACATAATAAATATTGTAGGCATTGTGGTAAACACCTAGAAAAGAATTGTCATAGGTAAGAATTGTGCTTATGTTTCCAGTGCCTAGACTTAAACTTCTAGAGTTTAAACCGTTTCTTTATAATGGTTACTTACGTTACTTGAGAAAATATGACTTCTGAGGGTCTTAGTTTATTGCCCTTTAGTGTAAGATAAACCGTACTTTTAACCAAGCCGATGAATGGTCTCTATTATTTACATAGATGTAAATGCTGCTCCACGATAACAGCATTAAAAACTTAATTTAGTGATCAGCTACTCATGGTGAAAGATACCATTTTTAGGTCTTTGCTAACTGTCACCTGTTAGGCTTGCTGACTTGATTTCTTTTCTTTCCCTCCCATTTTTGCTGGACATATTTCTATTTACAACTCTAATGTATATAGGCTATTTCTTCTAAGATACATAGAAATAGTTGTGATAATTTTAAACAGCATTATGCACAACCCTTGTAAATCCCTTGGAGTTGAGACCAAATTTCACACATGTCTTTCGTTCTGGCACCCACCACAGTGCGTGATATGTAGTAGGCACTCAATATTTATGTGGTGATTGATTAGCTCTGACATTATGGCCTATTCTTATAGCAGGAAATGCTATTTTAGAATAGGCCCCCTATTTGGCACTGTGGGAAAAGTACAGGGATACTTCAAAAAGTTCATTGGAAGATTCACATTATCTTTTAATTCCATGAGCCTTTTGAAGTACCCTCATAAAGGGTATGACAGGAGATTTTTACCCAAACATTTTTTAAGATGCTGTAAATTACAACTAACACAAATGGCCGCTACCACATTTCAGAACAAGATGATCTGGGCATAAAGAAATTTAGTTATGAAGATTTCCGTGTGTCAAATGCAATCAGAGCCTGGGGGAATTAAGGGGATGGCAGATTTTGAATAAAAAAATAAATGGAATTGTTAAATACAAGTACCAGGTGAGCACTGATTTCTGAGTTATTTGTATAATTTTTGTCCTTATGTAAACCATAAAATAGGCTGGCTGCTGACCAGAACCTGCAGCTGTGTAGAGGAGACTTCTTTGCATTAGCACTAGAAAATAAAGAATGATAGGCTTAAAGTCTTTTATGGTTTTATACATGAAAGGGAAAATAAAATTGGTTTTTTTTTTTTTTCCCTTTTTGTCATTTTACTGACCGGTAACGGGATCGCAACCCTCAGTGCTGCGCCCGCCCCGCGCTCAACCAGTGAGCGGGAACCGGTCTCCACATGGGATCCGAACCCTCGGCGGGAGCGCCGCCATGCTCCCAAGCGGCACACTCTCCAGTGCGCCACCGGGCCTGCCCGGGAAAATAAAATTGTTGATGTCCTAGGCCTGGGGCCAAAAATGCTGACATAGATCGACCTAGTCGAATCTACAAAAATGGCATGCAGACCGAAGAAATGTCTACATCTTTTAAAAATAACAAGTTAGCTTTCATGATGGTAATTCACATTTACATGTCACACACTGTCATCTTTATTCTTTCTAGTGTCCGAACACTTCCTCTCTTCCTATGATATTGACTGCAGTTTGGAAACCAAGAAGGAGGTGGTTCAATGCATGGGTTCCTTCCAGGATGGGGTGGCTGAGAAGTGTGTTGATTATTTCCAGAGATTCCGACGTTCTACCCATGTGACCCCCAAATCGTACCTCTCCTTTATTCAGAGTTATAAGTTCATATATGGAGAAAAGCATGTGGAAGTGCAGACCCTGGCCAACAGGTATGTGTGAAGTGCAAATATAAAGTTATATTAAAGCAGCGGCTCTCCACCAGAGGCAGATTTGTCCCTAGTGGACATTTTGCAATGACTGGAGACATTTCGGTTTGTCACAACTGGGGCAATGGGGTGGGGGAGGGGTGCTACTGGCATGTAGGGGGTAGAGGTCAGTGATGCTGCTAAACGGTCTACAGTGCACAGGACAACCCCCCACAGCAAAGAATCATCCAGCCCAAAATGTCAATAGTGCTGAGGTTGAGAAGCCCTCCTCTAGAGCCTATCCAGAGGTCATCCATTGGCTCCTAGGGGCTTTATTGTTACCCAATAGGATAAACCGTTACCAGGTTTTTATGTGGCCTACCACTTTCAGGGATATTGAATGACATTCTGATAGAAATAATAGACTTACAGGGGGTTGAGAATGCTTACATCCCCTCCTTCCTCCTCTCGTCCCTCTTGTCCCAACCCTTCTGAGTGACTGAGACAGAAGAGCCTGGCTGGTATATATGTTCAGTGCATAGTGAATGCCCATCTCCCCTGAAAATTGTTCCAAATGTCACTGCTCTGCCCTGCTCTTTTCTGAACACGCACATCATCTGCCTGAATATGGCCAGAATCAGGCAGGGTTGCTGAGTAAGGGATCCCTGGGTGGGTGATTGCACTAAAAGACTCAGGGCTCCCATCTTTAAGGTCACATTATTTCAGGTTCAGGAAGAAGGCTAATTTCTTCCTGGGGTTGTTCTGATGGCTTTCAGTTTGTTTTATTTCTTGAGTCCAAACCTTTCTTCTTTTCAGCTTTATTGGTATCTTTTGAAAAATAGAGGCTATTTATTTTCCTTCCACTGAGAGAGGACTTTAAGCATTTGAAGTCTGTTGTCATTTAGCTAAACGTCATTGAGCATGTTTCCTTCATGATATGGATTCTAGACCCACTGTCGTTCCTTATGTCATGAAGCATGTTTTCAAGGGGCTTACTCTTCCCCATGTGTTCTAGGAAGAACACGCACATGTCGTCAGTCTGGAGTCAAGCCTGACTTACATCCCTTTGTCAAGCCCTCTTGGGTTTGCTATTTGCATATACTCATTCTTCAGATATGACCCTTACTACTCATTAGTGGATCAGTACTTGGAAAATGTGGCCAACTGCCACCAATTTTAACATTGCTCGCATGGATTTTCAATTCCAGAATGAATACTGGATTGGAAAAGCTAAAAGAAGCTTCGGAGTCTGTCGCAGCCCTGAGCAAAGAACTAGAAGTAAAAGAAAAGGAGCTACAAGTGGCCAATGATAAAGCCGACGCGGTGGGTGGACACTTGCATGTGTGCTGTCTTCCTTCCTTTTGAATTTCCAGTTCACAAATATTAATGATATGCACATATTCATTGTGTGCATTATGATCATGGAAAGTCTAAGTTATTTATTTCCATTGGAATAAAATACTATTAATTTCATGTATGAAAAATTGGGTAAGTGGACAAAATCAACAAATCAAGGCAAAAATGTGCTTTTTCAGCTGGGTCTATGGTAGTTTTGAAAAGGTATTTTTTTGTTTTATGTTGAATTAGGTCTTAAAAGAAGTGACT